AAAATTGCGGCAGGCGCCATTCCATGACTGAGACCAGACCATCTTGGTATACAGACGCCACTACTGCCGCGAGAGGTGCATACATCGACTTCACCTTGACAAGGCCCTGCGCATTGGACAGATGAGTTTTCCACCGAATAGATACCGAAATTGGCCGAAACCTTGTCCATCAATTCCTTTGCGTCGATACCAAAAGCCTTCGCATACTTTTCAGCTGGAGATGGTTGATCTCTCTGCCACGGGTAGTTGATGCTGTCGGCATAGGTCTCCCACATGGGACCGTTCCAGGGTGCTGGTTCAATCCTTGCCGAAGTTGGGATGTCCTTGAATTTTCTTTCAAGCTTCACCCCAAGGAATTGCTCCATCGCTGCTAGAGTATCGCCCTCTGTCAAGGCTTCGAGGTTGCGATCCGGAGCTCCGTGTATTTGCGGTGCATAGAGGGCGAAGGCGGTGGAAAAGATGCAGCTAGCTCGCATTGATGAATGTTGTTTGAAACTTAGTGGTTATCAGGAAAGTTCGAAAGTGAGACTGAAGCTTCGACCAACAATGTGCCAAGGGAAGTTGCTCTGGCGTGATTAACGCATTTGAATATTCGCTTCGTGTCTCAATATCACATCCTAAGATACATAGCGAGGACACAACTAACTTCCTATGATTTTTAGACTACTTACGCAACCCATTCAGTAAAAATATGCTGTGGAAAGGAAACAAGATCAGTATCGATTCACCTTTTCCCCCGTCATATCTTGATCCTTGATATGATACCGTGGCTTTGTTTCCATATAGACAGCTGCCTCAAGGATACCTTGGGTTCGTTTGGCTGCGCTATCTGCAAATCTACAAAATTCACAAATACTCCAAGTGCGACGTGAACTACGTACAATTATATCGTATTGAATCTTAAGGGATTGTATCAAATGCTTAAGGGTCAAGCACATAAGGTGCTTTTCTCGTATAAATGTTAGGTCCACGTCAAGCAATACAACTAGTTCTGTTACAGAGTATTATAACATGTTTACTTTGATGCGTAAAACCTTCATAAAAATGTCTTTCGAATTATTATAAAAAGCGAGTTATTTAGTTATTTTATAGGCTCTTCATTTCACTGCACGAACTCAAACTCTGTGGATTTGTTAGCCTAACTCTGAGAGTGAAAATTTTCCCTCAGCGTCGAATAAGCGTAATCTTTGAGTCAAAGCTTCTCTATGCGAGGTGCACAGTAAATTCGCTACACTTTCTGAAGGAATTTGTTTCCCCCCAAAGCAGTCGGGTTTGGCATTGTGTATAAACAGCATATTACGGAACTTTCCTATTACAGTTGTCAAGTCGACGGCTAACCAAGTGCTATCGGGTGGATCGGGCACAAATCCACCACGAATTCCAACTACTAATCGGAGCATTTACTTTTGGGCATCAGTGGCTCTGTTCATTTTCGAGGAGTGCGTCATACCCCTCTCTCCATTATCACTGTAATCTAAACGAGAGAATGAGGCCTCGAGTGTCATTCTCAGCGTTAAATGCTTGAAGTAAAAGTTACTTTACGGCGAGGTCGATTCGTCATAGACGACGTGGAAGGGCCCATCCGGATTTTAAAGGCCAGAAACATTGCGCTTACACACTGTTCTATCTCTCTGTTTTACCTCGATACAAGTTGGTGTGTTCCCAGTGAGCATGTTAGATAATTATGCTATCTTAACATTAGTCGGGCTTATCGTTTATGGACAGGAGCATGCGCAGATATAATGCTTGTTAATAGAGTACCAGAAAAACCGAGATTCGTCTACGCTAAAGCCGCATATGTCTATATTGTAAGAGTTTGCAAGCGGATATTGAATGTTGCTTTAAACGAAGCAATAAACTACGTCTCACCAGACCTCATTTGGGCTTTACACGAAAGATTTCTGATGGCTTTACAACGTTCCTCTTGCAAGTGGCATTGACGTATGATTCAGTAGTTCAGGAGAGCAACTCAATTACACGACACACTCCTGGTTACACAACACACTCCTGGTCACGCTACAACACCTGTGGAATGATCTCGTCACCACGTCGTCACAGCCAAACGAACTCTTAGAATGCAACTCCACTCCTCGCCTATAAATCGCAGTGATTATTCTCGAAGTGTTCCCATCAAAGGCATAAAGAAGAAGGCGTGGGTTGACGGTTCACTGCTCAGGCGCTGGATCGATTTGCAGTTCCCTATGGTAAATGTCAGCAAAGTAAAGTTTCTGATTTCTCAATGAGAGCTCATATCTTGAAGGAAGTCAAGGCAAAGTGTCAGACGCGCGACATCAAGATGTATGTAAATCCTGGTGGACTCACTCCTTATCTTCAGGTTGGTGATATCGGCATCTATCGATACTTCAAGGACATTTATATGCTGAAATCAATGCGTGGAAGGAGAGTGACCAGGTGAGATACACCAAATATGGCATTCCCAGGCCGCCACCAGTGAAGTCAGTGTGTTCGTGGGTTTGCAAGGCTTAGACACAGACCGATGGAGACGCTGTCGTTAACTCCATCATTGGTGCTGGCTTTGCAGACAGCTACCAAGACTGGTTTGTTGCTCGACATGACGTGTACGGTACGTTGTTTCGAGAAAGCTTCAAGACGGACGGTGACAGCAGTGTGGATGCGAATGTTTTCAACCTTGACGTTCTGGACGAGGCTCTCGATGAAATTGGAGTTGTGATTGATGAATAGGAAGTAGTACCTAAACATAAAAGAGAACTGCCTAACTTCAGCACAATTTTGATTCATCCCTCAGCATGTCCTCGGGGAATAAATTCGCACTGACAACGCATACGATCCATCAAGGACCCAAACACGCGGTAGCGAACCCTTTCGGAGGTATTATCTCATGTTAAGAAAGCTTTTTTTGTATTTATTTC